AATATCATTTGCAAACTTCCACTCACTTGTAATATTTGAAACAATTTTCTGGGAAGGAAATACCAAATTATTATTCAGAAATAAATAGTTTGAATACTGCTTGTTTTTAAATTTAGAGATTCCTGCAAACGAAAATTTAAAGAATAAAGTGTAATGACTATACCAGGAATACATATTTATAAGTGTCTAGTATTTTTCTTTAAAACTAACGTATATTTGGAATGCATAAGGCATAACTTTAGTACACGAACTAACAGTATCAACTACAATCTACCCGTGCAAAGAGGTTGCTATCACAGACAGGTTTCCAATGTATCCATGTGTAAAATTTTATAATAAATTGCCGGATGCCATTAAGGCCGTTCCTTGCGTTTCTGGGCATACCTAAGTTCCAATGTAAAAGTTTATATCAAATAACGCAAAAACTATGGCAGATATTGAGATGATTCTTTTTTTATATGAAAGGTCTTAAAAAGTTCTAGTGCACTATTTAGTTGTAAATTAATAAATTGTTTAAACAATATTTTTTTTTCAAATATTTTTGGTTAAAATAAACGTAAAATTTTTTTTTTTGAAATAGGGCACTACAGAATTTGACCCACTTTCCGAATCTGTTTTTATTTTTAACATAAAGTGTAACACAAAGCAGCTATTTGGTATAAACTTTTTTAAAATCTCAAATTTTGCTAAATGTAACTTTCTCTCTCGGCCAGTACAGGCTGTCCTTGTCGATAGTTTCTGGATTCTCGTCGACACGGTTAGGTTGGTTAGGTAAGAAGTATAATACCCTCTCGAAGGTGGGTCATAAATAATGTTGAATAACATTATTAGGGTTTATTTCGACTTTTGACAAACCAGTGTGTTAATTGTTTTTAAAATGGGTAGTTCACGAAGAAGTTTATGTTCTGATTGAGGAAATTTTATATAAATAAGCAGTACCTATAATAAGTACCTATAATTTAATTAAATTTTTATATGAATACAAATATTTTCTGTTAATTTGTAACATTTTCCTTTTAAATGTTTATACTGTTTTTATAATAATACTATTGTTTCAGTATTTGCTTATATAATAATTTATTATGTAGAAACAGCGTAGAATTTTAGTCAATCAGCCAGTACATTTTTTTGTATTTCAATCAGAATTATTATTTTCTTTTCTTCTTTACATAAAAGCTTAGAGTAATACTCAAATATTTTGCAGTATTTGAATACGGAATTTGATTATTTATATTTATTGGACAATACCCAAATATTTTGCTGTATTTGAATATGGAATTTGATTATTTATATTTATAGGAATATTTATTTTCAACGTTTTTGTTAGTAAAGTTTACATAATATATGAAGTTTGTTTCTTCACTTGCTTGTCCAGCCATATTAGTCCAGGCTAATAAGGATTTTCTCGTGACACTCAATAATCCAGGTAGCTGACAACTTTTTTAGTTATTGTAGACCTATAAGAAGAAAACCTACCTGTTTCCTGCGTAAAGTTCGGAGCCGTTTTTTAATGATTAACAATTAATGCAAAAAACGCGATTCTTTCGATTTTTGCACTCTATTATTTATTTATTTATTTTTACGCACAATAGGCCGTTAAGGCCTAAAGCATTTTTTTTACAACATAATTCTAATATTAACTAATTACAATTATTTTAAACAAAACTTTAACGTAAATATGTATATATAACATTCTTAACTACTTTGAAGGACCTGGTGTACAATATTTTTCCATTCGCTTCTATTTTGTGCTTTTTTTCCATTCCCTCACCTTCACGTGTTTAAGGTCTTCCTCCGCTTTACTAATCCACCTCGTTCTGGGTCTACCTCTTCTTTTGGGGTCGATTAATTTTCTGGTTATTACTAGTTTAGGAATTCTGTTTGCTGCCATTCTTTCCACATGTCCCAACCATCTGATTCTTTGTGCCTTGACGAACTTGGTAATAGTAGGTTCTTTGTATAAAGCCATTAATTCATTGTTGGTTCTTCTTTCCCAACCATTTTCTGCCTTTCGTCCTCTGAATATGCATCTCAATATTTTCCTTTCCCATCTTTCCAGAGTATCCTCTTCCTTTCTATTTAATGTCCAGGCTCACCGGCATATGTTACTGTGGGTCGAATTACTGTTTTATATATTCTGAGTTTACCTTGTCTAGAAACGTATTTTGAGTTCAGTAGGGCTCTTAAACCACCTAATTTTTTATTCCTTTTTGCTATTCTGGCTACGAGCTCCCATTTATCTTTTCCATTTTCATCGAAATTAGATCCAGAATAGAGCAGGCTAGAGCTGCTTTTAGAAGGATGTCCAAGGTGTTATGTAACAGAGACCTAAAATTGGCATTAAGGATCCGCCTACTTCGCTGCTACGTGTTCTCGGTCTTACTTTATGCTGTCGAGTCCTGGACTGTGAATAAAATCGATTATATCATATATATTATATATATATATATATATATATATATATATATATATATATATATATATATATATATAATATGATATAATAATAATGTACTTATTCTTCTTCTTCAAGTTCCACTCCTATCGGAGATTGGAAATCATTCTGGCAATTATCATTTTGTTGGATATGCGCCTGAATAGTTCAGTTGAATTGCATCCAAACCATTCACGGAGATTACGTAACCACTAGATTTTACGTCTTAATGTGTGATGTATGATGTGCCCCAAGTATTCTAATTTCCTGATTTTTATGGAATTTAAAACTTCGCATTGTTTTCCTAGTTGTTCGAGAACTTGTTCGGTTGTTTTGCGATCCGTGACCAAGCTTGAATCCCATATAAAAGGGTAAAGAAAATATAACATCAAAGCATTCTTATCCGGAGCGATATATTGATATCTCGATTACAAAAAAGTTTGCTCGTTCTATTAAAAGTTGACCGTGCAATTCCAATGCGGCATCTTATTTCTTTTGTCTAATCAGTATCTTCTGTGATCCATGCTCCAAGGTGTTTGTACAAAGATATTTGTTCAATTTCTGTATTATCTAGTACTAGCTTAACTTTGATGCTTTGTGCTTTTGTAAATACCATGAACTTGGTTTTCTTCAAATTTATTTTTAGTCCAAAAAATGTACCTATAATATGATATAATCCTTATAAAATGTCTTCCGACGTTCATTTTTCATTCAATTCGGTTGTTCCATTGTTCTTTAAGTTCTTTCGAGCTCATTAAGTTTCTTATTCCTTCCATCCGTGTTTTCTAAGGTAATCCTCTCTTCTGGATTACGGTAGGTGTTCATACAGGTACTTGTTTTAGGAGTCTCTTGTCTTTCATTTATTGGACCTGTACCCATTTGAGCTGCTTTCGATGTATGCCATCCATGACTGTACCTTCTATTCTCATACTTTATTGCATTAAGTTCGACGAGATATCTTTCTTCGATATTAATCTGTCTCTGTTAATCGTCGTGTTTCACAACCGTATAAATAAAGCATGCTTTTTACCACAGTTTCATGGGTTGTAGTACTAGAGAGAGCATGTCAGCTGTGCCAAAACGAAAAATAATCCTCCTTATTGCTTCCACTGGAATAAGCTTGACCATTTAACTGGGCCCGGGCTACCTCTTTCTAATTCTTTAAACTCCTGTTTTGAAATTAATAATTATTTTGTCTAATTACCTATTTAGTTGTCAAAACAGATACATTGTTAACTAAAGAAGTGAAAGTGGTTCAATTTAGAAATTATATAGTAAATAATAAATATTTGAAAACTGATGCACATATTCCTCCCGCGATTTATGCTTCAAGTACTAATTTTATAAATCGCACTTCTACTAATAGACGTAAATTCTTTCATTTTAATTTCATGAATGTTTTTATTCAACATTATTTCAAAACCACACTGAATAGAAGGCCGCCCAGTCGTTTATTGTATAGACCCAAGACTTTACACAATAGGGGGTTGTATAAGGTAGGTATAAAGCTTACCTCTAGTACAAGATGACGTTTAGAATATTCTTCGTGAATGGATTTTGTTTTTGTAAAGAAAGATATTTTTGAAATAGACATCTCTCTGAATTTTACCGTTACAATTATCGAGGATAAGCCTTAAAATTGAAAATAATTTTATCAAATTTAAGAAATATGTAAGCTATGTTATAACAAATTTTAAACCATATTAGGTTAGGTTAGGTTAGAAAATAATTTTATCAAATTTAAGAAATATGTAAGTCATTTTATAACAAATTTTAAACCATATTAGGTTAGGTTAGGTTAGGTTAGAAAATAATTTTATCAAATTTGAGAAATATGTAAGCCATGTTATAACAAATTTTGAACCATATTAGGTCAATGATTATTTTGTGATATAGTTAAATGTTGGAGGAAACAAAAATGTTGTGTTATTTCAACATAAAATTTTATATATTTTATTTTAAATAGGTATTGTAATTGTAAAAGTAGCGAAGACATCGTGTGACTACACCTAGGACTGATCGCAAAATAAGAGATATTTGCCTAGTAAACAGAAAGAAATCACTGCCAATGCTTATCCAGGATATAAGAGATGAAGGAATCAGGATATAAGAGATGAATTTTGTATGTCCGTCGGACGGACATACAAAATATTAAATTTATACCTACTTTGTAAAAACAATTATTTGTTAATAAATAAAAGTTTTTTGGTAACTGTTTTAGTACCATTTATTTACTTAAGAGTTAATATTCACAAACAAAAACAAAATAGTAATTTTTCAAATATATTCATAATCGTGAGAGAATTAACTTCATATAGTAATTTTTCCTTGCTTGGCCTAATAATTGGACCAGGTAGTATATATATATATATATATATATATATATATATATATATATATATCAATGCCTTTTATTTTCAGTAGCTTTTTCATTGTTTACAAAATAGTGCAACTACAATTGTATTAAAAACATGTGATACCAGTGATATAGTAATGAAAGGAAAAACAAATAACACTCATGTAACACAACAACAAATTCAATCTCTACATTCAAAACTCCTCTTACCTTTTGCTTATTATCAGATTCAGGTAAAGAGTTTGATGAAACAGCACTAGATTTTGATCTTTCCTGTTCTAGCAACTTGTGGAGTCTTGCTAATTCCTCAGTCAATTCATCTTTGACAGTCGTTATTTTTTCCAGATCTAGTAATAGTGTAGCTTTATCCTTCACTAAAATCAAAAGCGGAAAGAATTATTAAACATTTTGATAGGATTAAAAGTAATGACCTACTTTCTCCTTGGCTTAGCATGCTACACAAAGTCTTGTTTCTCTTTTTGACAGAAGTAATCTCCTTTTTAGATTCCTCTAATTCTTTTTTAAGCTGTTCATTTTTCTCTTTCTCTTTTTGAAGCTTATCCTAAAAATAATGTTGAATTTTAGTAAATTATAAATTCAGCATTTGAGAAAATATATAAAGAAATGAGGTGACGTACGTTTTAATTTTTAAAGCTATATGTATTCCTTGTATTTTAGAACAGAAAAGATAAATTACAAAAAAAATCCAGCATTGTTTATTTTTCAATTTGTTCAAACGTTTTTTTTTTAATTTTTCCTAAAATTTTTTTAGGCGTATCTCATCGAAATAAATATTTTTTCTATCTTGATAACTCTTCGAATTGCAATTCTATAAAAAGCTTTATAATCTTTAAAACTTCAACTACAAGTAAGAATATTTTGACAAGAATAAATGGTTCATATATTGCTGAAAATATGAAGCAAATATTTCGAAAGCATTTCGAGCAATCTATCGCTGCATATAATAAGAGTGTACGGTTGCCGCGATAAAGGCACAAGGCGCTTAGAAATCTTGGTTTAAATTTAACACTATATTTTTAGCAAGAAAGGAACAACTTATTTCAGTCAAAATATTCCTACTTGAACGCGAAGGTTTAAGGTTGATCTGCACCTTCAATTACTGATCCTAGAAATAGCTCTACTGCGGCAGGCTGCTGTGGTAAAATTTTCAACTTAATTTCAAAATAAAAGCAACTAAATACACACTCTACTAGTAAATCAACTGACAAACTCTGATGAAATCGACATGGGAAAACCTAAATATAGAAAATACGCCTATGGTTATGGTATTAGATGAACCTCTGCCTGAAGACAATCATACTATTACTATGTTTACTTCTTCTTCTTCACTGGCTTTACAACTCGGGGTGGGTCTTCGCCCCATCCACTATCGCCCTCCACCCTCTATGATCTTGCACTTCTATCTCCCATTGTTGTACCCCAATTATAGATAAATCGGCTTCAACATCATCCTTCCACCTTTTTTCGGTCGGCTTACTGATCTTCTACCATCTGGTCTTTCAAAAAACACTGTCTTTAACACTCTCTCATTCTCTGATCGTACCATATGACCTGCCCATCTTATTCGGTTTGCCTAGGTATGTCTTTATGTTTTCAGTTCCATAAAGAGTCACCAATTCTATATTGAGGAGTCTTCTCCAATCCTCTGTGCTATGCTTACTTACTATGTTTACAGCAATGCAAAATTGTACAAAGCTGAAAGACTTTGACTTAATAGATTACTTAAAAGACTTTAACGAAGTACACTGTTTAGCGGATAATAATAATTGTGTTATACCAAGTGATTGTGTATCTAAAGAAATGCATTTTTTTAATAACAGCAGTTGTGATACCAATAATTCTGTAAACCTCGTGTTAAATAATTTAACAAATAAACAAATACTATTGCCAATTGAACAAAATAAAAGAGAGATATCTCTTGTGCCATATGAATTTTCTAGTGACAAAGAAGAGACTAATGAAATTAGAAATACCAGTAATGTTCAAGAAAGTTCTAACACTAGTATAAACAATAATATTAAAGAGAAAAAGAAAGCTTGGTCAAAATAAAAATCAATGGAGAAAATACAGAAACAAAAAACTTTGAATGAAAGTTAAATTATACATGGGATTTACATAGTTACATACAGAACAGTGCAGAAGTCATGTAGTTAAAACTCCAACATTTAAATCAATCAATGAAAATTCAAGAAGACAAGGTACATACACTTACTACTTACACGAAACGAATAAAAAACAAACACAAAAACACAAATTACAAGTATGTCGTAGCATGTTCACAAATACATTAGATATGGGTATTAAAACCATTCACTATTGGGCGGAAAATGGTAAAGACTAAGTATACAGAAAGTCATAAACACTTGGAACAATTTTTTGAGAGTTTACCCAAACTTACTTCACACTATTGTTGTAGCGAAACACAAAAATTGTATTTAGAATATTTTTTTAACAGTATGTCAGATTTGTATGGTGTTTATGTAAACAGTTTTTGTCAAAAAAAGGATATAACTCATTGAGGTTGCAACATATTCTCAAAACTATATGACGGAAGAAGAATATAGAGCTCATATAAAGAGAAAGGAAGACGCCAGAGAAGCTTAAACTTTGGATATAGCCATAAGTGAAAAAGATAAAATACTAGCACTAACAATGAACCTACAATCCATAAAATTGTGCCCATATGTACCAGCGAACAAAATGTACCCTAAAACCAAATTGTCCTGCCATAACTTCACAGTTTACAACCTAAAAACTCACGATGTTATGTGCTATTGGTTTTCAGAAAACGAAAATATCCAGCTCAAAGCATCCACATTTGTTTTCTGTATCATACATTATTTAGAGAAGAAGTGTGTTGCCGATTCCAAAACGCCAGTAGTTATTTATTTATAATGTGCTAGTGTTTCAAAAATATCTTGAACCGGGCCACTCTCAAATGGAATGTGACTTGGTACATAGTATGATAGAAAGGAGTCTTAAAAATAAGGAAATCCATTTACCCAGTGACTATGCTTACATTACAGATCAAGCAAGGAAGGGAACTAAGCCATATAGAGTCAAAATATTAGACCATACGTTTTTTAAAGACTATTCATCCTCCAACCACATGCGATATTCCTCAATCCGACCAGGAAGAAAAGCGATATAGGTATGACCCAACCATTACTGATATAAAATGTATCAAATCGATGCATTTCCGGCAAAGTACTGTAACTGACATTTTTGGCAAAAATCATGTTTTTCAATTAAACTAACGCTATTATTATTAAAAAGGTACTGCCAAAGTGTAGTAAGCCTAGAATTACTTTAAACCTTTTTTACGACAAGTTTTTTCAGTCATAATTTAATTAAGTTTAACCAGGTTGAATTAAAAAATTATTTTTTCTACAAATCGTTTTTGGTGACTTACGTTACTTTGCCAAAAATGTATCGAAATATGATCCAGTTGGGACCATAGAAATAAAAACTGCCTAAAAAGAAATAAAGACATACCTACTTATGCAATAATTTTTGTTCATTGTTTTTCGAAGTTTTAATATTGTGTTTTATAATAAGTGTTTTATGTTACCATACATAAAACTGTTTAATTTAATTAATGTTTAATTTTCAAAATTTAATTTTATTTATACAAAAGGGCATGTATGCTTAATTTTAATAAACAACAACTCCTAAGTTCACATTAAATAAAAATCAGTATCTCCTATGAGTAACATTACTTAAAGCAATACCTCCTATCTAGCTTAACAAAACTAATTTCAATTAAATATTAACTTTTTTCATAAGTAAAAATGTCACTTTCACACAGATCATAAAACATAAACAAACAATTGAAATGTATTAAAATTTTATAATTATTAAGTTTTTGTCTCTCTTGAAAAGTTTAGGTGAAGTTACAGGAGATATTGCCAGGACACAGACGATATATTTCATAGTATTGAAACTTTACTTTTTTAGTAATGATTGTTAATGACACTTTAAATAATGCTGTCCTCTGGTAGAAAAATAAAACATTATATTTATAATTAAATAATAATAGTGACAAATTGAAATACACTAAATAATAGTAGTTTATGGATGTTCCCTTAAGATATTTACCTGAGCTTGGGCAAGGGAAATGACTTCCTCGATGTTATTGGACCTCTCTTTTCTGCTCTGTTCCACTTTTTCTCTTCGGAGTTCTTCTTTTGCTGAGTTTATTACTGATTCGAAAAATTTTTCATCATTCTCAGATGTTTTATTTGTTTCCTCTGCAAATGATACATTTATAAGATAATCAAGAATGTATTATTATTTGATTTAATAAACTTGTCAACCATACATTTCTGGTCATTTCATTATCATTTAATATAACAGTGGCATAAACAAACCTTTTTTAGATGTGGACTCTTATCTTTTTCTAGAAACTGATCCAGAGACATAGTTTTTGTCTTCTTTTTCTTTGATGGCTTTTCTTGTCCTTTGGAAGTGATGTCTGGGGCATAATTCTTCTTGTGGTTTTCGTAATCCAGTCTTGATTGCATTATGGCACTTTGGAGATCTTGTTCAAAATTCTCATTAATATATTCATCATCTTTTTTTTGCCATTCTTCCCACTGTTTGCTATCATTTTTTGCCTTTGACTTAGTCTTCCTGGAAGCACCATTTGAAGATAATTCCTGTAACAAAATTTTATTTCACCATGTAAATTTTATAAATGTTGAAGTTGTGTAATAAAAATTCCTAAGGAATATTCAAAACATGGAAGAATGTTATGTAATTTATTCTAATCCTGATATAGTCTGTCTTATCCATACTAACAGGATGTGATTCATAGGGATGTACCAAAATTTTTGGGTAATTATTTTATTATACACCTTATCCTGGAAATGTATTCTTCCCTTTTCCTTACATGAGTGAGTATTAATAACAAATGCTAAGGACTCACCCAATCCCAATATTTAATTATCTCTAATGAGTATTGTGATTGTGTAAAGGTGTAATGTGGGTGATTCCCCCAAACTTAGTATATTGTATTTCTGCGTTTGAGAACAAAATTACGTGAACAGATTTGAAAGGGTCGCTTTAGAAGGACTAAATAAATAATTAACTATGCATCTTTATTTATGCACTCATTATATAGTTAATAAAGTGGGACTTGTAATACATTCTTATAAGAAAACAACATACCTGTTTTTCTAGAGGTTTTCTGTTACTAGCATTTCCAATGGCTCTCTTTACCGGCTGCTTATTATCAGCTTTTTTCTTTGTTTGTTTATTAACAACTGGCTGAAAATCGTCATCTTCGATTTTAAGACAAGAAAAGCGGGAAGGTACGATATTGTTTTCCATTTTGTAAACGTTACAAAGTTGCGTGTAAGCACTTGGTAGGCTGAATAAATACAGAAGATACTGCTTTTGCTTTTTTGCACAATAATCGTTTTCCGGCTCCTAAACTAAAGGTAAATTTTTGATTACAACTTACAACAGAAGTGTATCATGACATATGATTTGACTTGACATGACATGAAAAGAAATGACAGATTTCTTCTCTTTTCGTATCGTAGTCTTCTGCTAATTTGTCTGTGACACAAATCTAGTATCTATACCAGAGGTTCTCAAACTTTTTTCTGACGTAGACTCCTTCCCTAGTATTTCAATTTTAGATAGACCCCTTGATATTCATTTTATTCGCTTTAAAAAATTTAAGTTTCTTACAGTAGTGAACACATTTTTACACATTTATTAACTAAATTTAACTCAAAATATTGCATCTCATCCCAAAAAAATAACTAAGTTAAAAATAAGTTCTTTTAATCGGAACTTATATCTGATATACGCGACTACTTATATCTGATAGGTACCTATATTGAAACATCGTCTTTCTGTCACATTATCTAGGACAAATAGGAGAACTTGGAAAATTCGTACCGTGCAATTTTTGTATTTAATCAGTTTAATTCTAGTAAGAAATGCAATTTATTCACACAACTGAGCAAATAACCGCGTATTCATTAATAATAACAAGTTGGAGATATTCATGCAATTTCATATTCATATTTTTAGCAATTAAATGATGTCTATGATGGGTGTCGCAGTGTATTGCTAATACTCCCGGTATATTTTCTTTTAAAAAAGTTATAAAATCACGATAACACCTCCAACCATAACAGGTGCTCCATCTGTAGCTACCGATATAATAGGAATTACCGATATAATAGAAGTAAGTCTTTAGAACATGAAATATTGATTCGCCTTTAGTATCGGTTATCAAAGTTCTCGTAAATAGCAATTATTCTTCGTGGATATTTTGATCCATAATGAAACGAACATATGCCAATAATAATGCTTGACTCGTGAAATGGGCAAATAAATTACACAAGAAGCTTTCAACATCCTAACTCAATTCATGAATATATCTTTGAACTGTGTTTTTGATTAAAGAATTTTTTTAATGTTATCAGATGTAGGTTTTTGTAGAACAGTTTTTAAAAACTATTTAACGGCTGGTAAAATTAACTGTTCTCCGTAAGTATGTGGTTTCTCGTATTTTGCTAACGAGATATTGTAAGAGGCTCGCTCGAAATATTTTATCACGGTCATATACCTTCTCATATGATCTTTCAACTTAGATGACTTTATAGCGTCATTGCTAGAAACTTTGTTGCATTACTTCTTCTTCTTACGGTGCCTATCCGTTCCGGATGTTGGCGACCAACATGGCTATCCTAACTTTGCTTGCTGTTATTCTGAATAGTCCAGTTGTCAATGTATTAAACCACTTTCTCAGGTTTTGAAGCCAAGATATTCTTCTTCTCCCTAGTCCCTCTCTTTCCAAATACCTTGCCTGAAGAAAATCTGTTGCAACAAGCCGCATCTCTGTTTCATTTCTCATAACATGGCCAAGATATTCTAGTTTGTGCTCTTTGATGGTGGTTAATAATCTTGCATTCCTTGCCTATTCTACGTAGGACCTCAACATTAGTCACACGATCCACCCATGAAATTTTTAAAATACGTCTGTATCTACATACATTTTTCTTAAAGAAGCTTCGGAAATTGTCCAGGCCTCTACTCCGTATATAAACGTAGAAAATACATAGCATCTAATGAGAGAGATTTTGGTAGCAAGTGGTAAATCGTGACTTCTGAAAAGAGACTTCATCATTATGAACGCTGATCTCGCTTTTCCAATGCGTTGGTTTTATTTCACTGGAGTGATCCCATTGGCTGTTAATGTTGGTACCTAAGGCATGTGTAGGTGTCCACTCAGTCAATTTTATGTCGGTTAAACCAATAGCTGTGTATTTAATATTTCGCGCTTACTGACTATCATGTACTTTGTTTTCTTCGTATTAAGATCAAGTCCGTGTTCTCTACTTATATCTGATATACGCGACATTTGTTGCATAAAAAGCACAAAGACATTAAGGAAAACATGTGTAATTGGACATGATTTTGACACAGAATAAATAACAATCAGAATGCCTACTCTCAGATGTTGCCTTTGAAGTTTGTCAGCACGCGATCGCCATATTTTAGACGAAAACGTAGACTCGAATCAAGTTTATTAAAAATAGACTAACCTTTTACTAACCTTGGACTCGAATTGAGAAATTTGTGACAAGCTACGACAGAACTGTAACTAAATTTTGAGACATTAATAAAATAAGAACATTTGAAATAATTTAATCTATTCTTCAACTAAAAGTACGAATAAAATAGTGCATGTTATGTCTATAGTTGTCGTAAATAAATTAAACCGGGTTAATTTTTCTATGCACACCAGATAACATGTCACTGAACAGCATTGGTTCCGTTTAAAACATGGCTGATTCCGTCTGCGCGAATGAGATGCGCGCATCGAGCAAAAAAATAAAAGAGGAATCTAATCGTTATGAAAAGGAGACCAAAAAAGTGGCCTCTGATGGCGGACATATCCGAAATGCAAAGGCGCCTAAATTTAAATTTCCAACACTTGTTAACAATAGCTGTAAAATATTTTTCAGACAAGAAAGTTTTAATTAAATATTAACGATAATAGTTAAAAAGTGACACAATTGGTAAAAAACTTCAATATAAATAAAAATTTCATGTGACAGTTGGAAAAACAATAACATAACCAAACTAAATTTGACTTCTTAAACAAGGAAAGAGACTATCTTTCCTTGTTTAAAGTGGCCTCTCAAGATAGCACTTCCTGTCTAACAATATTTTTGTCCCCACTTAACCTTTACCTTCCCTCTTTTATCCTTTTTGCTCGATGGATGCGCGTACTTATTTTTTAAGCAGAGTGGGCATTCTGATCGTTTATTGTTCTGTGCGCATAGTATGGAGCGAGTGAGACGTGTATAAAATTCTGCGAGATCAAGTAAATTAGTAAAAGCAGTTTTAGACCAACGATATTAATTCCGTACCTCTGAGGTAAGGACACATGCCATTTTCTTACTTTATAAGGAGAGCAGTTTAACATTTTTAATTTGTAATCAGTAAATACTCCAAATGTTTCTGATATTTAACCAAAATTATTAATTATATTAATTTGGTTTAATATCAGAACATTTGAGTATTTACTGATTACAAATTTTAAAACATGTTAAAACTCTCTCCTTAAAAAGTAAGAAAATGGACATAGTGCCTTTACCTCCGAGGTACGGAATTATATTATATTTTTGTAATTTTTAATGTCAAAATTATATCAATTATACAGATTTTTACATTTTTTGAGATTTCTTCTCATTGACGGCTGTGTTGCAGGTTGTAGGTTTCGTCGACCTCTTTGGGTGTCGATATAGACCACTTTAGGAATCACTGATCTATACTTGTCTATACCACAGATCTATAATACAGGACAAAATAACAGTACATATAAAAAATTATGTGTATGCGTATGCTGTATTGTATATTGTCGTACGGCCGTAGCATCCTCTCCGTTATCCGGAGTTCCTGGACGCTCAGCGGCCGCCGCTCTTGAAGATGATCTCGTATTACGATGATCCATCTTCATATAGGAGTTAGTACAGATACCGGCTTATTCGTGTAAGAAGCTCTATATCGAGCCTCTGCAACAAGCGAGGTGACACCGGCAAACAGAACTCTCTAACAGTTCGAAATTTCTTACAATGATAAATTATTTCTTACAACGACAATATGTGTTAGAGTTCTGTTGCGTGGTATATGCCTCAAAATTGCAGATATGTCAGTTTCCTTCTTATCAGAATCGCCGCGTTCTGTCTCCTAGAAAGAGGCACAAAAAATGCCCGTTGTATCGGCTCTGCAATAGCCCGTCGCTTTGTACACTACCTTTTGCACTATCATGTTTTACCAGTGTTTGTCGGTGTCAGTTTGACGCAATTTGTAATAGTTCTTAAACTACTGTTTTTCTATTTCAAAAAGCGTATGTTTCTGACAGGGAGCGATTCTACAGCTGATACTCGGCTTTTCGTGCACTGTGGTAATAATAGCAGACGACGAATCATGCGTTAGGATATCTTCGACGTCTGGGTTGGAAATAATCGCTGATCTTCGAAGTCGGTGCAGTCGTTTTTTTATTCGACGTAAGGACGACTTCGGTTATTTGGATTAATAATGAAAACAACAGTTTTACGAGGAAAGCACCACTAACCAACAAGGTCTAGTAGGGCTCGAAGTGTCTGACGACTGAAGTCCCGATCGGTATCTTCGTTTATACTCTCTCGGTGTGAGAGAGCCCCTGTTTTAGGCTCCGTGCCTCTTCAGGGAAGGGGTTGTATTGGGTTTTTTGGGTTGTTATTTGACCGCTAATGTCCGGAGTGGAATCGGATTCAAGGCTGAGAATTGGTTTTGCCATTTGTCATCGGTGGTTGAGCGTTTTTTTGTTACTTTGACTGCTGTTTTTCCTTACTCTGTCTTCACTTAAATTCACAATCGCGCTTGTCGTTCAACACAGAACCAGTGTATTGCACTGTAATTCCGTGCTTGAGCGAGCGCGGCTGTGATAAGTGTGGATTTTCAGGTAACAGCAGTCGCCGGGGTTTGATGTTAATGAAAATCTCTCGTTGCTTTTCCCGTTTATTACCACAATTTGCTGGTTTCACCCACATCTCCCGCCATCAGTCGAACCAGTGTATTGCACTGAAATTCGTCCTCCGGCAGGCGATGTGGGCGCCCCAGGTTGAAGTGTACTCAGGATGGTGCAGCGAGAAATGTTTTTATATGTGGTCGGCTGGGTGGGAGGAGCTTACGTATCTCTGCTTGTTGGCCTTGTGGTGGGGGTGGCTTCGTGTTTTTCGTGTTTTTTGGACAGCGTCTTCGTCGGTTTGGTGGTTAATCACATAATAGCGACCATCTTCATTAAAACGGCTCTTTAGTAGAGTATTTGGATTTTTTCAAACGTGGAGGATAGCTGTGGCTACAACCTCACCTAGGATCAGGTATAATTTGTGCAATGAGTTAGGAAACCACAGAAAACTAACTCTCCCTGTCCTTCTTAGTTGTTAACGCGGTACTCGTAAGGAGTTGCTTCGAGGACATCATAGTATTC